TGGAGGGTGCTCCTGGTCTATTGGTGCAAAGTGAAGTAGGGTAACTTAAATTGCCTTCCAGTACAGTATTATGCATTGAAACGCACTAGAAACGTTTATATGTCCAGTTTCTTTCCATGACTTAGTGGAGGGAACAGACACTTGCATCTGATAGATGGTGATTCCTCAAGCTGCTCCATTATAGTTGCCTCTGACTAAGCCCTAAATAAAGTGAAGCTTTTATTAGGCCAGGTTCTTTCCTGTGGGATGGGTAGGCTCCAAGGATTGCAGATTGAAAGGGAAGGGGAGAATTGACATTAAACCCTACCAAATCACCTCTTTATGGGCTCATGCATTAGAAGAGTTGCTAGAATGAACAATTACAAGAGTGAAAATGGTCTATGTAAAAAAAAAAAAAAGAAAAAAACCTATGTAAATGGACTAAAGCAAAACCCACCTTGCATTTTAAAGGAGATCTGTGTTAAAAAAAGTGCAGGCTTCGTTTGAAGCTTTAGAAATTTCCATTACTGGTTCATACCTCTTAGTAGCAGGATTCTGGCATTTGTGTGATAAGATGAAGGCTATAGAATGCAATTTTAATTTGTGAGGAATGAGCTTTTCATTATTTCAGATTATTTCTGCTTTGAAACAGGGTTAATGAACATGTATCAAGGCTCTGTAGTTCAGCGCAACTACTACAGTTCATCCAATTTAGAGAGACAAAAGAAAGAAAAGGGAAGTGGAATTGGCACAAGGAAATTATACAGACATGCGAATGACAGCTTCTGAATGCTTAGTGTGAAATTTCTCTTCAAGGTTCATGCAGATCCTCAAGGGATGGAGCGTTTTGAAATTATTAGCTCTTCACGTAGTAAAGCCTTCTTCCTTGCAGTCATGGCAACGACTCAGAAGCTCCTCTCTTTTCCCGTCTCCTGTACCTTGGCAACAGGAGTGCCACAGGTTTTTAATCTACTTCTGGTTGACTCTGCAGCTGCCCAATACAAATTCTGAGTTAAGGTAACTTTTACAAATGTAATGACCCATTTTAACTGATGAGAAAGGAGACCTGCAAACTGAGAAATCAGATAGTGACCTGGCTTGGTTAGTCTTACCCCTCGGGTCTCAGGATGCAGCAAGAGATGAATTTTGCCTGGTTTGGAGCCACTCTTGCTGGCAAAAAGGAGACTAAAATTGGCTTGGTTAATACGTAAAAGTGGAACAAGATAAAATCTGCATTTTTCCTAGAACTTTATAGTAAGGAATCAGGTTTTTTTTTCTGTTTTGCTTTTGTTTTCTAAATTGTATATTCCTTTCTTCAGTGTTTTCCCAGTATTAGTGATTTCACAATCAGTCTCTTGTCACTGTTGTGTTTGCACGGTCATTCTTAGGAGCAGTCTTTCTTTAATTCTGAAATTTGTCTGGGCTTAGTAACTGGTAGAGTGCTCATATTTCCATGTAGAGTTACCTGCTAAGTGTGTTAGCTAAATGGAGACTTAAACATAATTAGAAAACCATTGGGCTGTTGCCCCATTAAATATACATGTCTGTGAGCCAAGCAAAGCATTTGTGTCATCTTCTGGGATAAGTATTCTTCTGGATTCCTGTCTCAAACTATTTATTAAAATTTTACCGCTTGTCTTGGGTGTGAATTTTCAACACTTGAAAGACAGTTATCTGGCATCTACAAAATAAATAGGGAGCATACTTGGAGCAGAAGACTCATTTTTGTTATAAATAAGTTTTTTTTTCTTGCTGTTTGTCATTTGGAGAGAGAAGTGTCTTCAAGTTGAAGGACATCATACAGAGACACTATATTCACTTACATGCGCCAACTTGACTGAAGAAAAGGAGGATTTCTCAGTGCTGCCCTGCCATGCTCTTTGGAGAGAAAAGCCTTCTACAGTTTTTAAATTTGATTTCTTAGGACTATCACTGCATCCTTCTGAGAAGATATTGCAGTAGGTGATGTTTTTCCCTTGACTTTCTTACATATAAGTCTAATTCATTGTCAGCAGATTAAAATTTAAGTAATTTCCTGCTTAATATAAAAGGAATAAAGAGGGAAAAGTTAGCTGCTGCTGTTGAGGTCAATTTGAGACAAGAACAGCCAGAAGTAAAAAGAGAGCCTGGAGCCCATTGTCAATAACAAGGCAACAAGAAACCGGCATTGCCTCCTGCACTTCTGCATTTCCAAGTGCCTTGACCATGCCCTCCTCCTTCAGAAATGGCGTGAGGCAAGTGGTGTGGAGGAAGTTTCTGAAGAAGTAGACAGTTTTGCATTCCAAGACTGCGAGTCTGACATCTTCCACAAGATCTTACACTCAAATAACAAAGTCAGGTTTGTTTATATATATTTCTCATCAGTCTTTGTAGTTGGAACAAAGACTTCAAAGACTGGCCTTGTTTGTATGGTCAATGCAGAACATAACTTCATTCCTGAGGATCTACACCTTCCCCATAAACCTCAAGCCTTTTTCTCCTGCTTTGGAGAGGATGCTGCTTTAAAAAGTCCCTGAAATGTGCTTGGCAGTGTGAGATTTGGCAAGAACATTAACTGCTTTGAATAAATCAGATAATCTGAGCCAGATATTCTGGATCAACTGCGTGACTGAAACTGGGGTTTATTACTGATTGAATGCAAACCTTTTTATTTGTGTCTACTAAAGAGCACCATAAAAGGTAATGGTAATGTTGCTGAGGAACTGTTTACCTGCCAAATGTATCTGTATGATGCATGAGGTGACCATGGGAACCAATTTGGTGGCAATTATTTAAAAAAAACCTTGCAGTGAAATCATTGTTGCATGTATACTAAATATTTCTGCAGTTGCATTTGAAAAGCTTGTTTCTGGGAAAAGGTATAATAACTAGAAATCCATTTAGAGAGAAGGGTCAGCATTGGCCCTGAATAAAAAATACATTACTAGAGCCAGGTTTTTTGATGTATATTTTACAAATCGTGTTTTGAAAATAAATAGGAAATCTGTATTGGGTTATGAACTTTGTGCAAATTTAAAATGGTTTGGTATGTATTCCTAGGGGACTCAAGTCTTTTGCCTGATTTCATTTTTCTTGAAAAATTAATTACAGGTTGCTGTATTCCCCCCAGAGAACTTATTAACTATGTCTCTCTCTCCAAAGAGTGCTTGGTTCTCATGAGATAAAGTGCCTTAGGCTAAAAGCTGCTGATTCCATTTCTGATTCATAAAGAAATTTTTTAAATTTATTTTTATCCTTACTGACATTTTTCATGAGTGATAACTAATAGCACAACGTTAGGATCAAGGCTGTTACGATATTGTCTTATAAGGCAGCATGCGCTGCACAAATGATTCTTCAGGGGTTGAGTTTTACTTGAAAGGTTATGTACAAAGATTATTTTCAAGCATATATGTCCAATTCAAAGAAAAAATTTCAAATTTGCTATAAACATTGAAACTATAGGAAAACCTCCTATTGCTTGAAACTTCCATATTTTTATGGAATATATTTACTTACAAGTTGCCCTCAGGATGCTACCAAAGTACATGTCCTAGTGGCATTCTACCATAAACCTATCATGGTACAATTACCATTGTCACCCAGTAATTAATTATATAGGAAATCTGAGATAATAGCTGGAGTAAGACTGCATTAGAATTTGTTTATTTTTCCAGTTATGGCCCAGCTGACAACTGTCATCTATATCTGTGTAGAGTACTTGAGAAGGAATCATTAGAAAGGATTTATAATGGCAGGTAGAGTCTGTTCGGATAATTAAGAGACATTCAATGTAAATAAAGATGGGTGAGAAAAATTGTGTTTCAGATGAGAAAATACAGAAAATTGAAGTTCTGTATGGTTCCAGATGAATACTTGTGTGGATCTGCTTTTAAAAAGCTAGAGATTATTTCATCCTTAAATGATTGTAGTCGGGCTTGGCTTATGTTTTTTGCTTTTAAGTCACTTCAAGTTGCATGGCTCAGTCTCGCTCTGTCTCTTTGCAGCTCTCAGACAAGAATGATGTCATACCAATGCAAAATGAATCAGTGTCTTTCAGAAAGAGGCTTCAAGTCTTGTGTGTGTGCATTTACAGACATTGCGACTCATGCCGGGGCTTTACTTGCAAACACATACAACAATAAGGATATTTTCAAGGCCTGTAACAACTCAGATTAGTTAGATGTATTCTTTTGTAAAACTGGAATATATTTATGCACGTAATCCACGGTGGGGCTGGAAAACATGTCCAAGTATAGAAAACAGGCTGTTTCTGAACTTGTATTTGTTCATCTGAAGGTATTTTAGTATTGCAGAGAAGAGAATCCGTACAATTGCAGTGGAAGGATAATTAGGTAGACAGTACAGTTTTTCAGAAGGTACTGTTGGAATGCCATGGCTCATAAATTCAAATAAGTAGCTTTAATTTGCACTGTAAAGGCAAATTAGAAGTTGGCAATAAATTTAGCATCTTTTTTTTTTTTTAATTCTTGAAAACAAGTTGTCTTTTTTGTTTTTCTACGGCCCAGTGACTTGTGGGGTCAGTCCCATTTTTAGTTCCAAGTGCTGAAGAGGACCAAATACTTCTCTCCTAGTTAGCTTCAATGTGCTAGCTTTGAAATAGTGGAGCAGAGCAGTCAGGTTCTTTCTTACTCTGGGAAATAAATTTTTTCAGTGCTAGAAGTCCCTCTTTCGAACAGGATTATGATATACTGCTGGAACTAAGTTACTTGAAAGTCTCTGAGCCTTACCTGCTTTCACCATCATTATGCCTACTGGAAGCTCACATTGTCTGAGCTAGTGTTCAACACTTTGTGCTAATTGGAAAGTCTGCGTTTAATTTATGTAACACAGCGTGTGTCTTTCCAGTATACTTTAAAAGAGCATTTTTTTTTTCTGTAGACAGAAACTTATTCCTCTTCAAGTCCTGAATGTTTGTTTCTTTGTAAGGCACAAATGATAAGTGATTCTGGTAAACGGTGTAATGACCAATTTGATTGTCTAAAGGTATTGCTTAGTTAAAACTTCCATTTATCTTTCAGACACCCCGAACATGTGAAAACTTTATCAAATTGTGCAAGAAGAACTATTATGATGGAACAATTTTTCACAGATCAATTCGTAATTTTGTGGTGAGTATTGAACAAATCTTCTGTAATTCACAATATGTGATGTCCTCATTATTTATTTAGCTTAATTCAGTTTTAGTTTCTTCCATGCATGACAACTTGCAATAAATGTGTATTAAATATACCATCAGAACTAGGATTGTCCTAACTTACTAAATTTGCACTTACTACTCTTACTAACAACTATCTCTAATACTGAACTAATACTGTCATTTGGAGCATCACTGCATTTAGTAGTGCTTTTGCTGGTGTTCCAGACAAAACTTTTGAGAGTTATTGCCTTGGCAAGGCTCTTGTTATCTTCCCCGAGCTATAGGTGGGTGGTTAATGAACAGAAGCAGGGAGAGAGAGAAAGAGGGGGAAACGCTAACTTGGATAAGTAATACTGTGGCCTGTTGAAATCTCATTCAGATGAAATTTTAGAAAGCAGCTGAATTTCTGTTTCAGGTTATGGTACTTGGATACTGTCAGATCAACCTTTCCTGAGTGTGCTCCAGGACTAGGTGCCCAGGCTCTCTTTGTGAAGGAGTTAAAGAGCATGTAGTGAACCAGAAAGTTGACTTTGGTAGTCAAATATCTTTATTTACATAGATACAGTCCAGGCGGCTTAGGATATTGTAGCTGTCCTGTAACTTCCTTTCAGAAGAATTAACAACCTGATCCTGAAGGCAGAGCACATCTTTCAGTGGACATCACTGTATGTTACATTCCATCCTGTCATCCTAAAAAAAGCTTTTTTTCTTTTGACAGCACTATATATCTCGGTGCATAGTTAAACTCACAATTAGAATTCTGCTTGTGTGCTATTACTGTGAAACTATTCATGTCACCCTCCCCCTACTGGCTTTAGAATATAGAATATTATTTCTGTATGTATATGAAGTGATTAATTTTGTTGCTGAAAGACTGGTTTCACATGAGGATTTTCCCTACTGCAGATAGTGAGGGAGATACTGGGAAATACACAAAATATTCCATATTCCCTCATTTCTTGCCATCCCATCTTGTGGAGGATTGTTAGCAAAAATGCAAAGCCTTTCCAGTTCCAAAAGCAATGCATCATCAGTTAAAAAGCAGGTTATGACTCAGCATATAATAGAAAGGATGATCTGGTTAACCCATTTGAGACTGTTTATTTTCCTGATTTACCCACAAGAGACCTATTATTTTTATAAAACTGTCGTTCTGCTCTTGGATACGTAATGTAGGAGATGACAGCCAGCTGATAAAAGAAGCTCCAAATAAGTAGTAATGGTTTCCTTGTTGCTCACTTGTCAACATGACAATATAGAAAGAAGAAAATTGAGCAGAATTGGCTTTCATGGCTTGTATTTGATGTCTTTCACACAGATATATATGTAACTTATTGATTTAATTTTAACTCTGCAGATCCAAGGAGGTGATCCAACTGGAACAGGAACAGGTAAGGTTGAGTTTGAATCAAGTAAGCTGTTTTCACTTCATGCACTGTGTTGTTACATTTATTTCCAGGCACCTTGTAGATTAAAATTCTCTAAATGATGATATGTGGCACATTCTGAGTATTTCTACTTTAAAGCAGAGGTTTTATCGCTATATTTTTATGACCATTTTAATTATAGTCAAAATTTCATCCAATATATTCTCAGTCTAAAACTTGGACACTCTTCCATGCAGAATTCTTGTTGGATCTTTGCTTCCTTTTTCTTCCAGAAAATAAATAAATGAAAATTAAAATGATTCAGCTGGCGTTCCAGGGCAAAGAACAAAGGAAGAAACACATTCATACAAAGTTGCTTTCCAATTCAGCATTAATGAAATACTTGAGACCTGCCTTGGAATTGGTGAATGGCCAGATACCATCTGTTCTCCCAGCTAGCTGCCTTGTAAAGCCCAAGCAGCTCTTTTTCTAAGTTTTAGGGAACACTGTTACTAAATTCTTCTGCCTGTTCTTTCTCCATTAGTTGGAGATCTGCATAACATTCATATTGGAAATGGTCAGGAGATATAGTAGCTGAATGGTCCACAGAGCATTGCTCACCACAGTAGACATGTCATGTAATATCTCTAGTTGCTACTGGAAATTTGGTCATTTTCCACTTGTACCTTTTATCTACCCACTTGTAGATGTCACCAGCCTCCACAGCTCCTCACCTGGTCCTGTGGGGTTCTGTGCATTTTTATTCTAGTTCATAATGTGTCACTCATATATGCAAGCACTCTATTCTTTTCTGTGCTCACAGGTCATCTAAAAAAGATGTCTTTGTAGTTGTTAAGTACTTTAGCTCTATTTACTTTATAAATAATGTTAGTGTGAGTTGCCCAACAGCTTTTCCTCTACTGCGTGCAATAATCAACAGTTGCATACTCTAAGATTTGAGACTAGTTAAAGGTTCTGTGTTTTGACAGCAGAACCCATTGACAAGGTTTGTTACCATATATGCTTGGACTGTCAAAAGAAATGTGATTTGATTTTGTTATAAGGAAAATTTTGGTTCAAATCCCAAAAGACATAATTAGGAACATCTTTTAAAATGCGAAATTAAAGAGATGTCAAGAGACAGGAGAAATGTAATGGGTTGACTCAGACACCTTTCACCCTTGTAGGGTGGAGTTCAGATCCTGCTGTGGAATGAAAATTAACTTCCTGATGTCATTCTTGTCTCTATGCAAATGGTAGAAGTCTTGTAAGACAGCACAATTAACAGTTAGCAGAGGACTGGCAGTGCAGCTGCATGGGAGGTCAAGACTCAGCTCTACTGGCAAAGCAAGTAGGAAGTAAAATGCAAATAAGCCCATAGGAGAAAAAACCTCCTATGTACATTCTTTTATTTAAAAAATGGATTCTAATGACCTCTAGTCTTTTCCATCTTGTTTTCCTCCTTGTCATCTTAATTAAATATGAATATATTGCAGGCGAGGTGTCTTGCAAACATCTGTCAAGACTATTAAAGTTCTAATAAAATGGACAGTGTACCCTCAAATAGATTCAAGTGTTGCAGATTTTTAGAGGCTGTTTGCAATTATTGTAGAGTCCAAATGATGCAACTATCTTCTTTGCAACTGAATGGTTTTTATTTTTTGAAGACAGCTGAATTTTACATATCCTTACTTAATCACTTATTGAATATGATAATGTCAGAAGAAAATGTTGTAAATAGACAGCCTGGTGGGCTACTAGATTGCTCTTGAACTGTCATGTCTGTGTGTTTAATACTTACTTAAATGAAGCCACTTAGTTCACAGAGTGCAGGTAGTCTGTCAGGATTTGTTCCTGACTACCTGATAGATCCTGGGCACTTGAATGTGGGGCAGAAATTTCACTTGCGTATCTCAAGCCACGTGCTGTGTAAGGAGGTGGCCATACCTAAGGTGCCCGTTTGGCTTTATGTTCTCTCCACAGCAGTGTGGCCAGAGGAAGGTACAGCTCGGCAGCAGTGTAAGAACATGGCAAATGCAGTGATGCTCTCCTAGGCTCCTGTGGTGTAAAAATTTTGGTCCATTGGTTTGTGTGTTATTAACGTGATCACAAGCATTCATGTTAGGAAAGCTTTGGAGTAAAGCACTGGGATTCAGTACTTTGTACCTTTTTTACCTGGGTCTTGTATGTTATTTGCAGTATAAATTCCCTTTTTTTATTTCTTCTGGCAGCTGGAAGGAATTTCAGTATTTCTTTGACTCACTGCTGCTTAGAAAAAAAATAGAGATGCATCTTTGAAGGCTAAAAAGTCTGCAAGATTTAATGGTCTTCAGAGGTTTACTGGAGGAGTAAATAACTTGACTTCTGTAATACCAGAGAAGCATATGAGAGTAGAACACGGCTTTCCTCCCAGATATTTCAATTGGCAATAGGGAAGACTATTTGGAGGTTACCTTTTAAATGTCAATATTTTAAACTGCTGGAATTGTTTCTGTTAGAGGCTTTTGTAGGAAGACTTCAGAAAAAAAGAACATCCTTTGTTTCTTCTTCCACATAGAACCTTCTGCTTTAACTGAAATTTTCTGGCTAAGAGGTTTGGGATGGTTTTTTGTTTGTTTGTTTAAAAAAACCCTCACCCTTTCCAAAGTGGTATGTGGAAGGTGCATTAAGCCTGTATATATTTTTGTTTTGTTATATTTATTTAATTATTCCTGTTCATCAGCTCAGGAACTAGAACAGACTTGTTCCCACCATTTGGTTTTTGTCATCTGACATTCATCCCATGTTCAGCAACAGGTGTCGGGTTTATGGTTGCAACACCCGAATGCTTAGATGATCACCCACTCCATTGCTAACTAAGCCCAGGACTGTTCAGCTTCTGGGTGTATTTGGGCACATTCAGTACAACATGACGTAAGGTTTCATGTCATACATACGTAGACTACAGCTGTGCTCTTGGCTCACCTGGATTAAGTGTGCTTGTGTTTTGGAAACACTTCACAGATGTAAAATGCCAAGCTGGTCGTCACTGACTGTCCACTTCCACGGCTACTCTGGCTGAACAGTCCTATCTGTAAGCAGCATTGATCCTTATTTCTTTTTTATTTGTTACTCAGGACCCCAGTGTGTCCTTTTTGAGTATCTTGTTAGACTGTCATAAAAGTAACTGTGACCCAGCAGACACATGAAGGACAACTGATTCCTGGTACTCATCAGTTAAACTTGGGATGGAGGAAGGTGGGAATTAGCATTATGGCATCTAGAAGTTGAGACACCACACTGGGAAAAGAGTGGGGAACAGAGTTTTACCTTAGCTTGGCTGGCAGACCTGCATTGCCAAAGCAGTTAGATATACAGTCCTGTAAGGCTGACACTGATTTAGAGGAGCAAACTAATTTTCTACAGCCTTCAACCTAATGTTTCATAAAACTACTGGGAGAAATTTTACTGTGCTGCAGCAGCTCATTTCTTTTCTAACAAAATAACCACCCATAGAGACAGTATTCAGAGCAATAAGCTGAGTCATGGTCATTCTTTTTAATGATTAATTATTTGAAAATGAATTTTAGATTTGTGATGTATCTCTTTTCCTGCTGTTCATAACAACTAAGTGGTTGAACATTGTGAGTAATTCTGTCTAACTCATGGTAGTGCAAGTGGAGCAGCTGTTCTGTATTTTCAGTGTTCCAAATAATAGAAGAAAATTTGCATGCAGGAAAAATAGGTTTAATATTCTAACCCTTTTGTATGAAAAAGGGAAAACTATACGCAAAGCATTACATTTTCAAAGCGGCACAGATATTTTTCAGCTACTCTTACTTGCAACCTGTTAGAACATGAATCAGTTTGTGTGTGCCTCTGTCCATTTATGAATCCAGGAGGGCACAGAGGAGGCATATAATAGCTGTAAAAATCTAAGATGAAGTACCAGTGGTGGATGGGAATTGCATTTTGGTTGGCAACGAGCAGAGCTCCTCTGAACTGTCAATAGCGAAGGACTGTGGACAAACTTGGTCAGTTCTGCAGTGTGATTTCCTAAGAAGGCAAGTTCCTAAAATGTACCTAGTTTTAGAGCCCCTTTTCTTGCATGATTGAAGCTCAGCAAAAGGACAAGAGCAAGACCTTTTTATCTAGCAATATACTCCTTTTAGATTGCAACCCCTCTGAAAATCCAGCCTCTGGTATGTGGGGTTAAAAGTACCATGTCCTCTTATCTGAAAGGAGAGAAGCATTTACTGACTGAGTTAAGACTTTCATATTTGCAAAATTATTCAAGAATCTCACTTGGAAAGCTCTACAGAAGTGTCAGATGTTATTATGTACCTCGTTGTTCCAAATGACAAGAAGAAAATTACAGAAAGTAAGCCATCATTTTTGTGAATCAGAGCCCTCCCACTTCCTTACCACTGCTTAGCAATTTTTGTGCCAGAAAAAGGAAGGATTTATTTAAAATCACAACTGTCATGAATGATGATTCCCTGCCCACACCTGGCGTTTGGAATGCTACATTTCTGAAGCTTTAGGTGCATCTCTCAGCTCTTTGCAAGAAAGTTGTACAACTTCTGTAATTTTACCCAAAAAAATGCTTTCTGAAAAAAAATGCCTTTAGTAGGAACTAAAAGACTAACAAAGAGTAAGCTGGTTTAGTTCAAAAGACAATCTGAAAACATTGCTTTTTTCTGTTTAGTTGCTAATGTGTGATTGCTTCAAATGTCAGTTTAGATCTATTCACCTTTTCACTGTCAGCACAAAATGCAGATATGAGACTGAATAACTAACTGTGCTTCCGTTACAAGCTAAATATATCTTGCCACTTTGGATAGCCATGGAAATGATGACTACAGTCTAATTTTTTCTATGACCTGTGTGATGTTTGGTTTCATCTCTGTGTGAGAATTAGGTAAACACCTCTTTAATTTAAAAGAATTTTTCTCTTTTATTATAAATGTGGGGAAGTGGCACCCAGCTGCCATCAGCTTTGAACCTTGGCTATCTGGGTAGGAATGTGATTTTTATTTTACAGAATTGGGCAAAAGCTCTCTCTGGCTCCTGAAGGCTTTGACGATGTACAGGTTAAATGCTGCTGGAAGGCCAGTGTATTTCCATGGCCAACCCCAAGTACATTTCCAGCTTTGTGCAAACAGGAGACCCCAATGTGCAGGGTGTAAGTACTGCTCCATTTCACACGCCCAGCACCAATGCAGCCAGCGGCAGTACCTGCCTGGGACCATGTCTGCTGCCATGTGAACTCCTCTGATTTTTAGCATAGAAGCCCCCAGAATTTTTTTCCTGCCCTTTTTGTAACAGGATCTCAGAAACATTTGCAAGTCCAGCAGGCACACAGCTCCACTTTGACAGAAGATAATCTTATCAGGGAGTAAACTGAGAGGAAGGTGAAGTGACAGGCAATGCTGCCTGCTGTGAATCTAACACCCAGAGTCAATTGTTTTCCATGGGCTTTGCTTGCAGGCTAGTACGTCAGTGTTGGGGTGAGGTTTTTGCATCATCGTGACTCCATATATAGTCAGCAGTCATCTGTGTGCTCTCTGAGGAAGATTTGGGGAATATAAGGAGGAGCCTCTTCTCTGTATGGCATATACTGGGAGAGTAACAGGAGGGGGCTCGAGCTAGGCAGTGCAGCCATCCCACCTCCTCTGTATGCATCCATTCTGCTTTCAAAAAAGCTTTCACCTCCCAACCGTGTCGACAGTAAAGACAGTAAAATTTGCTAAATACTTCTGAATGCCTTGTAATTATTAGTAGTAGGTTTGGAGCCTCTGAGTTGTTTTTCCAAGTTTACATTGAGCTCTACCATAGAGAGTAAAATGTAAGAATCTAAAATCCCTGTTCCAGACCACCCCTGGCTAAGCATTAGGCACTGTGCTGCCATGGCAGTAGACTAATGAGGGATCTGTACTTAATCTTCAGAGAGAAAGTGATTCTGGTTTTCAGTAATTAAAAAAATGTATACATTTAACTTGCCATCTTCTGGCTTGTTCTGTCTGGTCATGCTTCAAGCAGATACTTGAAGCCTGGAACAATTCCAGAGGTTAGCAGGAATTTGACAAACAGCACATTCAGGCTATTTTTAATTTAAGGAGAATACTTTCGGGGTTTTCCTTTTTTTTAAAAAAAAAAAAAAAAAAGTTTTTAAATTAAAAATTTGGGTTTTTTCTTTAAGAAAAAAAACAACAAACAAACTGTTCCTGTACTGCTGTCTGACTGCCTTTGCAGCATCCCCACCGCCCCTTGGCAGTCTGTGCTGCCAGGCCTCCGCAGACACTTCAGCTATGTCCTTTATAGGACGTCTGGCCTTTTAGGCGAATGCTGCACAGGCCATTCTGTGTTCTTGCCGCAGCTCCCGGGCAGACAGAATTAGCGTTGGAAACAGCTGTATGGCAGACAGAGAGGGAAGCAGGGACTGGATCTCATGCTGTAACTATCTAACAAAATATTAGCACTTCTTTCCAGAGAACTGGAATGAACCAAAGTTAGCCTTCATACATATGAGATTAATTCTGACCTCCAGTGCGTGATCTGAAATGAAATCATACAAAAATAAATATTCCAAAACCTAAAGATCATGGCTCATTGCTCCTGTCTGCAGGCTCTTGGGGGAGGTTGCTTGTTGTGCCAGAAAGAGAGAGTCTCTCTGTCATTCACAATTTTTCGCTTTCCCTTTGAATTATTATTCTGACCAGCAAAGGCTTCAGGGTTGATTCCACTCTCTTTCAGCAGCTTAACAACGCTGTAATCCGAGCATCAGCTGGAAGTGTATGACGGGTGTAACGGACTCAAGGGTTTGGCCACTTGGTGCTGTGGCCCATCTCAATGGGCTGTGTTCATGTTGCATATCATCTGAAAATTTCAGACGGCAAAAACTCCTCTAGGTTAGGACTTACAGCAAGTGCACCTGCTTTACAAATAATTAGGGGTTCCTTCAAGAGATCCTTTGAAGTAAAATTATGTATTTCTTTAAGGGAAGTCCAAGTGAAGTTTATTACTGGAGTGCAAAGAGCTCTGGCTGTGGCCGAGAGCAGAAATGCAGGGCCTGAAGGCATGGTGGCGGTGTGGGCAGGGAGCCCACCCCGATGCTGCCCCGCCACGCCAGATCAAAGGGGAAAGGTGAAAATTGTGAAGGACAAAGAAGTGCACAGAGCATAGTGCTCTGGGTGGGCAGTGGTCTGCAGGCTTTGCAGGTGTGTTTCTGGTTTCGGGCAGTACCTGTTGGCGTGGAGCCTCACTGTGTTCTGTGCGTAACTTGTTTATTTATTGACCTACAAGAACTTTGTTTTTCTGAACAAGGCAGGTAACTAAGGTGTGGCACAAATAACTCTTAGCAAATAGGAACACGCAGGGACATTCATTAGCAAAGAGAAGTACTGGCTTCTGGTAAGACATTTTCATAGGTTGAAGACTTTGGATTTGGCTAGAATAGTTGGGTTTTGGATCCATCTCCAAGACAGTAGAGCTGCCTGCAGCTGTACCATATCCCTTTCACCCGCTACTGGAAGAGATTGGCATATGGGATCAGCTGATGTCATTTAGCTGATCTTAAAATATTCAATAGCCAAAGATTGCTGAGGTAATCACTCCTTCTCTACTCAACGCCCAAAGATTGCTGAAGTAATCACTCCTCCTCTTCTCCTGATCACGGAAAATCCCTGCAGGGTTTGTCCCCTTTTGCTGCCTCTTGTCAAATTGCAGAGCAGGCAACACTCAACTCTATTAATAGGTCTTTTGAACATGATTAATTGGGTTTTTAAATGGGTCAGTTTATTCCAAAATTTCTCGCTTACTTAATTCCACTTGCACTTGCAGCCATCCACCTGTGATGCTTTGTTTTCATGGTATCATCTGAAACTCTTTTCTCATTTGATGCACTCTTGTGATTTTCTGTGTAAGGTTTTCACTATGAGCCTGGTTTATTGCTCCATTTTATTTGCTGCTTGCCTGTGCAGCCCTATCAAATTACTTTTCTGTATTACATGTGCAAATAGCCGTTGAGCGCTACAGATCCTTTACTGACCTCCTGCTTTGCAAGTGATGCAGTTACTCTAGAGGATTCTTGAGTCAGTTCTGCAGATGGACCAGTCTTGCTGCCTGTTTGGATAGTTTTGTTTGTTTTATTTTTAATACTATCCTAAGGTGAAATATTTTTTCATGGTTTGTCAAGCAAGATTATGGATTTGACTGTAAAACTATGACTCATCTCAGCCTTCGTTTTTCTTATTAAGGATGATCCTGGAGGAAAGTGCAAATGAAAATGTCAGATCTGTCATAAATAATGTAAAAATGACAGCCAGGAGGAGAGGTCTCCCAGACCCTCTTTCTATTCACAGACAGAAAAGAAATCAGTTTTGGAGGGCTGGGTCTCGGGCTTGTGCAAAGTTTTATCATCCTTTTGACTTCATTGCATTTAAGTGTTTACATCATCCAGGTATCTAGTCCAAATATCTAATTTTTGCCTTTTGTTTTGGAGGAATATATATCATTATTCTTCATTGTTTAGCCAGGAATTAAGCATTTGAGCTTATAGCTTCTATTCTTAGTTGATTCTATGAACGTATTTCATCTCCCTGATATTTTATTTCCGGAAGAAGTGCTATATCCAGAGTGCAATTAAACTAGTAATTCTGTGCTCTATGTTTTGTCAGGAAGCCACTTTTAAAGATTTAATGTCTCAAAAAAGAAAAATTACGGTGGACCAGCAGTAAAAAATTAAATCCTTGACAGTTCTTCAGCACACAATATATAATGCTGTTGATAAACAGCCTGGTCTGTTGCAGTTGATAGTGTGGGTGCACAGAATTATGTTGCCAGTTATAAAATTATTTCAAGAGCATGCTCAAATACTAGCCTGGTGATAGGGATGAGGTAAGAATGTATTATACACATAGTGATCAGAAATGCTGGAAAAATTGAATTTAATGTCTGTTATAAATTGAATTTAATGCCTGTTATAAAATGTAGTGGGAAACTAATGAAAATAAACATTTCTTCTATCATCTCTTTTCTTTTAAGGAGGAGAATCTTACTGGGGAAAACCTTTCAAAGATGAATTTAAGCCCAATTTGTCCCACACGGGACGTGGTGTTCTTAGTATGGCCAATTCAGGACCCAACACAAACAAATCGCAGTTGTAAGTAGTCACTTGCTTTTTGTGTTTTATTGTTTCCCTCCAGACATTGTGTCTTACTTTGTTAAGAAAACAAATGACATGTTATAACCTACTCTTTAAAGTTCAGACAAGTGAAATATTCTGTCGAGTCCCGCATATTGAAATCAGGGTAGCTATGGCTGCTGCTCCTCAATCTAAGAGCAAAGTGAAGCACAGCAAGAAGACGTGTAGGTTTATTATATCATCATTAATTTCTGTTTCTGTTTTTATGATTTGAAATTTTTGTTCATTTTAGTGTCCCCCCAGTGTTATCCCTGCAAGATCGTTACACCTCTCCACTCTGTTTAAATTTAGCCCCATATTGAACTTTTTGAAAGGGCTTAATGAAATGAAACATACTGTATGGAAATGCTGCTTCTTTTTATTCGCCTGATTTTAAATAAATGAGAACAGTTCTGCACTGTTGAAATGTGTAGAACCCAGACGTGGCAGAGTGCAGAACCTGGGATTGAGAATTACTTGTTTTTCAATGTACAAAATTGGACTAAATGAGGAAGAAATCAATGAAGAAGCAGGAAGAACGACAAATGAAATTTAAAGATATTGAAGTTGTAATAACCTTCTTTATGTGTAACATTAATACGGGTGCTGGCCTGCAGTCTTTTGAAAGTGTCCTACATCACTTTGAGCCAACTATTTATTGGTTGCTCTCTAAGAACTGCAATGGAAAAAGTTGTACTTTTATTGGGAGCCCCAGGAAAGAGAGTGAGAGTGAGTGTGTGAGTGTGTGTGTGTGCAGTACTGTGTGTTGGGACTGGGGAGGGAGAGAGGGGGTTCTTGGCATTGGTCTTCACGATGCTAAGTAGTATTATGACTTGCAAACTATGCAATGGTGTGGTTAGCTTTAATTACATGCAAGTGCTTGTCTCGGGGCCTTTAATAGGCTTATGCATGTACTTAAGGCTAAGCACATGTGGGGCAGTTTGCAGGATCGAGTTGCTGTAGAGCTTATTTTGGATCTGAATGTTTTTGCCAGTACTCAGGTGCTAAATTAGGGGAGAGTAGAAGCTTTTTTTTTTTTTTTTTAAAAAAAAAGGGATTCTAGGAACAGAAGTTATGGAGACAGTTCATGAGTGATGTGCCATATTGAGTCACATCATCTGCTGCTGTACATGTGATCATATGTTTTCCTAAAATTTGCAAATGAAATACGAAATTCCTTTATATGTGAGGTCCTTGAGAGACTCCAACTGCCCGTATTTATAAAGCCTCCTAGGCAGTGTTTAGACACTTCTGGCAACTATTGTGACCTTAGGAACTGGGTGAATAGCTCTCCCCATAGGTGTTAGGCACTGCAGTGCAGAGTGAGCTGGGTCCCCTGTGTAAGGGGATGCTCGAGTAATGCTCAGGACTTCTTCTCTGGGATCATCCTGAGTTATGTTAATTCCATTGTCCTTAATTTTATTTTGACTGTGGTGATGGATGAGAGGCTTTTTCTCTGTACTTCCCTCTGCTCAGACTTTTTTTTTATTACAATGCTACATAACTGACCACTTGATAAATCTTAAGTATTGGATATCTGGGAATAAAGTGGTGCAAAGAACACACGCACAAGGCTAAGTTGTAATGTTTGCCCTGCGTAGGAGTTTGCATTCTGCACAGCATCTCAAAGCTTTCCTAGGGCAAGCTACATCTTAATAGATTGTCTGGCAGATTGCAGCCCCTCCTATTTGCAATCGTATAATTTCCTGAGGCAGTTGCTTATATGGAAAAGTGCTTTTGGAATGCTTATGTATTTTTAGCTGTCTCTAATGTAGTGTAACAGATGGAGACAGGGAGGAGAGCCAGCACTGCATGTCCAGCCAAGATGGGCCATCGTGGTCTGCAGACCACAGTGTGGAAACCTCTGTCTCATACACTTGTAGTCCAAGTCTTCCAAAGAAGCATTAAGCTTTAGAGAGAAGTTTTAGTAGTAAAGGTTGCTTTGGATTTGGTATTTTAGTTCCCACGTTTAAGTTTAAAAATACAATCCCCAAAATTAAAAGTCAAATTAATTAAAAATTAAAAATCCAAATTTCACAAGTTTTCATTACTTTTGACACTTCGAAGTATTCTTCTGCCGTGTTTGTATCTGAAGCACAAATTTGCTCTGTCCAGAGGAGAAATAGATCACCGACAGGCCAATTTAATGCAAGAGAAATGCAAAAAGTAAATATCCTAAAGATAGAAGTTTACACTGGCAGAGGCTGTTGTGTTGTGTAACTGTATTTGCTGGATAGAAACTCCCCATCAGGCACAAGAAATGTACTTCTCAAGCAGGATGCACGTCTCCCTCTCCTGCATGAGCTTCCCAGGGCCTGCGTGGCCCAGGAGGCAGACGCTCAGATTAATTTTGGACTTTGTGCAGGTCACAATGCTTGGAGTACTGTTTAGGGATGTTAGTAAGGTGTAAAAATGAGAAGTCAAAACTCCAGAAATCCAAGACGGAACCCACAAAACAGAGGAGTTAAAGGATGTTTGGCCAGCGGGCGAGAGGGAGACAGGCTTGTCTTCTCTCAGAGAGCTTTTGCATACATTTTCTGGTTTTAAGCATTACTGGCTGTTATTGAGTGTCAATGAGATAATATGCTGTTATGTCTTTATTCCTTCCAGCTTCATCACATTCCGCTCTTGTGCATATCTGGACAAGAAGCATACAGTTTTTGGAAGGTAAGTGAAGGACACTATGAGCAGCAGTATCACAGACACGCTCTCCTGTGTGTCTGAACACTAAAGAGAAGAATCTAGTGACTCTTGCAATTGAACTAGAGCAAAATCCTAGCTCACAGTCCAGTTCTTCTGGTCGTGAGTAGGTGGCCAACATTGCATCAGTGCCAGTCATCAGACTCTGCCTTTTTTTCTCCTTCCATCACTGTAAGTTGCCTTACTTCCCTTCTGTGGGTGGCCCTCTAGGGAGTCATGAACAAAGTAATCGTCATCCTGTAACCAACCATGTTAATATTTGCGCATGCTAATTGCTGGGACACAAGAGATTACCTCTTCAACACTGCCTTCATCTTCTTACGAGCTGTCAACCAGGAAATTAGTCATGACAGGGCTGCTGTTCATCATGGCATAGAACGTAGAACTTCTGCATAGGTTAGGTCTTTTGGCCTCTTTTATTCCTTTTTATTCTGTTCTTCTTTTATTCCTAACAATTATCATTGTTATAAAATCTGTACATTTATGTGTGTGCATGTGTGTACATACATATAAATTTACGTGTGTGTGTATATATATATATATATAAAGATACTACCAATGCTAAGACAGCAAGGGAACTTCATTCTTTATAAAGTCTCTTCCAAAAGTCTTTTCCAGTCAAGCCCTCACATGATAAAGATCAAGGTATTTATTACAGAAGATACTACAAAATCTTTATGTTACAGTTTGTTTTTTTGCTTCCTCTGCTGCAGAGACATGGTATTTACCAAGTCATGCATAGCTGTTCTAACAAATGCCTCAGTGCACATGGCAGGAAGGGAACTTTTACTAGCCTGCTTCACTGGTAGTTCCCAAGGATTTTACAGTCTTTTTTAAATGAAGATTTGTTTTTATTCTTTTCATAGTTTTATCCATTTGAAATGCAGCACTTGAAAATAAATGCATGTGCCGTTTACTTTGATTTGGTGTCATACAGTTGTGCTGTACAATGAAAGTGATATATTTAATCCATCTTCTCTGCCTGTGACTTCTTGAGGCGGAAATTGGCTTCATTTTAAACAATTGTTTTAGTGCCATAAGTTCCAGTACTGATTCTGCAATAATTGCACCCTTTGAAACATATTTCTTCTTCCTTTCTCAAGTCTGTTCTAGAAAAAAACAAAGTTCCTTGTCATTTGGTGAAAGCAGATAAATAAAGCAAATACTAATACTGAAAACTGAGAGCAAGTATATTCTTGGAGGAGTTATATTACCCGTATCTTAAGACTACTTCACTAGCTACAATTTGAGTCCTCCTTGCAGAAATCCTGTTAAATGCTGTTCAGTAATGCTGTTAACCTGAGCTTGCCACCTCATCAAATAGTATTTGGGTTAGGACAGCTCAGCTGAAAATGTGACTGTTCTTCAGTTCTGGGTGCAACCTGGCTTCAGTGAGCATCCTGTGTAGTCCTCCAGTGTCTTGGCTGTGTTTCCCCAGTGTGCTTCAGTTTTACCATAATTTGCCAAGAAAGAATTTAGAGAGTAGCTGAGCTTACTGCGGTGCAGGGAGTGTGCTCCCAAAAGCCTTCACACCGTGTGTAACATCTCAAGTGCCTTGTAAGCAAAATCACTCAAATGATGTTTCACGCTGTATGGTGCCCTTTAGAGAGGAATTGCTTCAGTCCAAGTAAGTCTGGTTAACTGTATATCAGAGATTTATGCAGTTTTTGCAAAGGCTGTCTTAATTTTTGAATTGTCCTTGGTACTACAGAAATCTGAACTTAGTTGCCAGAGTAAAGAAGTGGTGCTGCTTTCTCAGCACTGCAGATAATCTTAGCTGAAATACAAAGGAAAAACTGTATAAAAAATGTTGATTTAGCGTCATATTTGGCTCCCAGCATGAACACTGAGTGACATCTTCATGTGAACACAAAGCAGGTGAATTTTACTCTGGACTCTCTTGCATGTAAATGAAGATTAATTCAAAGAACGTAAAAAATTAAGATACTGGGATAGATGCATTCCAGTCACTCTATATTAATCTACAAACTGAATACTTGAATAATTGAATTTACCTGCAAATTTAATATAAAAGGCTGATGCATGCAGCTCTTAAGATCTACATTCTGTTATCAAATTCCTTCAGCTGTTTGTACCTGCATTTGTTTTTAAAAGCCATAAAAGCCAAAAGATTCCAGAGATTGTATCTCTAGTGAAACTCCAGCTTCAGTTTGCTATTTTAGATCCGGGGTGTTTCTGGCATTTGGTGACTGTATCTGATCTTAGACTGTATAGCACAATAATATCTGGGAAGCATATCTAGGAATAATATCTAGGTTTAAGAATAGAATGAGCCCATGAAATCAGAATTCTTTGTTTCCATGAATGTTAAATTGGCTTGTCTTAACTGGATGCTTACTGGCCTGTTGTGACTTTCATATAGATTTGAGGATTACTTATTTCAGTTAATATAAAAACCTAAATACCCTGAGCTCAACTGTACCTTCAGCTATTTCTATGTGGCTCTGGTTTGTGTTAGTGAGTGTCACATATGTATCTTTGAGAGCAGAATTTGACCTGTTTGTAGTTTGTATAGAACTTTTCAGCAGGCTTTCCATACTTCGGAGAGCGAAAAAAGAGTGAAAGAGCAACCATTCCCCACTCTTTTGGGGTTTTTTTTGGTCCTGTGTGGGATGGAACATTGGAGAGCGAAAAAAGAGTGAAAGAGGCAACCATTCCCCACTCTTTTGGGTTTTTTTTTGGTCCTGTGTGGGATGGAACATTGAAAAGTTGCATCTTATTCATGTCCCCACTGGTTTGAAACACACTTTTTGCATAGTAGCTGCTATTAATGTTGGATGTTTGGCTGTTAAGTATGTTTGGAAAACACACTGGCTGCAGGCAGTGGGACTGTGAAGAGTGGCACGTTTCTGGCTTGGTGCACTGGAATTTTCAAGTCTCAGGAGAAGGCTGCGGCTGGAGGACAGGGAAGGCATCTTGTCATGATCGTGCTGCCCACCATGGCGATAATGAGGATGGATGTTACTGAAAATAAAAGAGAGAACTTGGCATGGATGGGGAGTAAAAACAAAGACAGAGTGAGAGAAGAATGCCTTCCCTTGGAGGTGTGTTGCAGACTGCAGGGATTTCCTGCTCCAGCAGAGCTGCCTAGATTAAATTAGTAATTACCATTTCTAGTAATTACCATTTCTCCTGACTTAGAGAATGCTGTAATTAACGTGAAAACTAACTGGTGGCTTTTGTTGGCTTCTAGCTTGCTGGTAAGAGGTTTAATTTAGAAACTCAAGTAATGTAAACCAACCAACATGAAAGTGAGGGTAGGTTGCAGGTATGTGATGTGATAAAAAGTAGAGGGAGCAGAGAGAAAAGTTTTGCAGTCAGAGTGGCAAAGCTGGAAATGATGGGTGCAGCAGTTCTTTAGTTTATTAGAGCATCACTTGTGTTTGTCAAGAACTGAGGAAAGGATGTGGCAACTAAGACTGGAGATGAGTATGTTGAGGACAGTTTTCCCCTTTGTACGTGGCTGCACATACCTGCTTATGCAGATAACTTCTAACTGTCTCTCGAGGTTTCTGCCACTCATTCCTCAATTCTCTTGTTCCCAGAAATAACGAACAAGGTTGTTTGGGAAACCTCAGACTTGGTCAGATTGGAGGCACTGGTCAGTAGCTGACGTGTACTCAGCTTAGTCTTCTCTTTTCTTCCCTCCTCCCCTTGCCAGATGTTTTTGTGGAAGAGAGTTTTCTTTCCTTGGATAACTATCACTCTGTATTAAGTATTCCTTAACCTGTTTAATGCTTTCCACTGCAATTCTGTAGAATGGGGCAATGAAAGGAACTCTTGTTCTCTAAAGTAAATAGCTACATAAAACAACTACCAGGCGTTATTCAGTTACCCAGGTACAGTTCAATAATGCACAGTGTCTGTTTCCACTTGTAACGATCCCTGTATAATTTGAATCAGCAAACCGCAATGGCTCCTAAGCAGGGAAACTCATGTGCTTGTTCCTCTTCTGCTTTAGTACATATGAAGAATGGAGAAATTGTGTGACAGGAGAAGAGCTGATTCTGTTGTTGAATCTGAGTAGGGAGCCTGACCTAATTTTGCACTGCAGAGTCCCCAGACACCAGGATAGGAGTGAAAAGCAAGGTGGGAAAATAAACCAGGCCTCCCTGTGGAAGCGGTGGCCATGGTGTCCTGTGGCACACGAGAACTGGGCTGTCAGAGCTGCACAAGGGCTGCTGTCCTTTCCAAAACAGTTCTGTGATCTCTGAAGGAGAGCCTGTGCCAAAGCAGAGAAGTCCTTACATGCCATGTTCATCTGTTGAGTCTAGTTTCAAAATACTTTTTTCCAAGTTGTTTTATTTTTTCAGCACCCTTCATTACTGTGTCTCGCCTGCTAGATTAAGCCCTTACGAGAGACTGAGATGTTTCGACTGCATCCTTGCAAGTTCAGATTGCTCGCTCCATTTCAGATTGGGTGTATACACAGGAAACATTTTGTCCTGAGTGTACCTGTTTGTGCATGTATATATTGTTCTCTCTCTCTCTCTGTATATAAATGTATGTACTCCTTTTTATAAAAATAACCTTGAGGGCAGAATGTGTTTACAAAATGACAATGTTTCTTTCTGGTTTCTGTTTCTAGTTAAAACATTTTTTTGAAAAAGTCCAGACGTTGTTCTTGTATCATCTTCTGACCAGGAAACTCTGTTGTCTTGGACCACTGCCATCTCCAGCATTGCAAAAGGCTTAGTTCCTATAACTCTTCTAAACAAAAATATGAGAAATAGGAAGTCTATGTGTGAAGGTCTGTGAGACTGCTAGGGAGCTGCGGTTTTCTTTGGGAGCAGCACTAACTAATGTACAGCAAGGCTTTCATTGGCATGTTGTAAATGGATAGAGCTTGCTCCAGATATTTCACTTATACTTCATGCAAAGACATTGGCAGTGGTTATAAAGCAAGGTTACTAGTTTGCATAAGGGAGCCTTAACAGGAAGTAAAATTTTAAATAACATCTCTAAATTTGAAATGCAAAGATTTCCAGTGCTAACTTAGCTCAGTTTTCAAGAAAACAGAATTGCACGAGTAAGGGCACATTTTTGTTTTCCTTACTACACTAACAGAAAAAAACGTAAATGCACCTACCTTGTCGTCCATGCTTAAATGTAATGCAACATTTATCAAGCTCCTCTAAAAATACAACAAGCTGTCTCAGAGATGGTGAGCTAAATATATAGTTGAGATCATAATTTCTGTGTTCAACATCTACTGGAAGTACACAGCAACACAGCAAACCCTCGGTTTCACTGGTTGTTTTAATGTAAATGATGCCTTGGAGGCATCATCCTTTTCACTGTAGGATGTCATCTGAACATCTGTTTAAACCTCACTTGGCCAAAGATGTGTGGCACCTTCTAAAAGGAATAGAGCCAGAAACAGTGGAAAAGGTTAAACTTGTTTCTGCCCTTCTCCCTTCCCTTCCCTGCGGTGCTCCCAGCTCAGCACAAGTGACATTGTGTGAGAAAGGCTAACGCGGTGTGAACTGTCACCATCGGTGTAACCCACTTAGCGCATGTGAAGAGTGTAAAGGGGTACTAGTCTGAACTTCTGGAGTTTGCCTTTTGTTTTAATGGAAATGATGTACAGAGTTCCTTGTGCTGACACTCGGATTTATTAATGGAATAGATTTTAGCTCTTTTTGTTCAAAGTTAGTGAATATTAGAATAGTATTAAGTAGTGGCACTCTCTTCAGAAGTTTTTTTTTTTAATGCTTTAATGTACTGATCTGATGGTCTTTTCTACATATAACTTGTATGGACTTTTTTCTTGGCAAGATGTCTGCGAGTTTTTCTTCTTACACCCAGAACAGGTGTTGTGGGACAAGCAAAGAATCCCCAGCACTACTCTGGTGTGGTGGTTTCCTCATTCTGTGAGGAGCAATTGCTGTAAGGGATGCCCGTGCATCCCTTAGACATGTTTTATCTCATCAAACTGATTTTGGTGCTGCAATGTAACGTCATGAGATTTGACAGTAACAACATGTAGTGTTTCGAGAGCCTGCATGTACGTTGTCTCTCTACTTAGACAAATCAGAGGAAAGCTTGCAAAATCCTTTAGGGTTTGAGACCTTAAGTTGGAATATTCCGTTATTTTGCGTCCAGCCATGACTGCCCTGATTAGTGTGTAGTTCAGTTTTTACTGGATGGGTGACGTTTGCAATCAGATCTTGTCCTTTTTGGATTTTAATTTTTACTGATGAAACACCAGCCTTAGCTGGGCCTGATACTTGACAAAGCTTCCAAGTGGTCCCTGAACAAAAGTGACTAGTAAATTATTTCCAGTTCCTCTGGTTAGAGCTCTCTTCTCTGAGCTGGATGTTTGTATTCAAATTCATTTTTATTTTTTTATTGGTGTGATGGCAGTTTCTAAAGACATAAACCTATACTGAGAGCTGACTGTGCTGACACTGTGATATGCATAGAGATACTCTGTGCAAAATGTTAGAGAATGCAGGGGTGTAAAAGAAAGCAATTTTCCATTTTAGAGACAAGAAGCTAAGGAGAAAAGAGAATGACATGCTCTGCAGGCGTAACAACTTTGTCTTCTTCCCCCTTAGCCTGTTATAATCGTGTCAAAATAGACTACTTAGGCCATTTACTGATGACCTGTGAATGCCATGTCTATCACAGCCTCTTAAAATGTACAAGCAACAAAGTATTCCCAATAAAGTTTAATTAGCATAGCAACTGAAGATTCATGTGCATTGCCAAAATGCATTAGGGCTAATATTGTGGGAGGTCTAGCTATGGGCTAAGGGATTACTTAGTTGAGATTGCCAGTGCATAGCTGATCTGGCTATTTCAAATTATCAGAACCTAATTAAATGAAAACATATGAGCAGATAATGAGTGGAGCTGTTGGCTAGAAAATCCTCCAATATTAAATCAGAAGTTTCCTTTAGGGGCAGTTAAAATACAGTGAATATATCTTAGACTGTGTGTTAATCATCGGTATTGTAAGTGAATCGGATATTGGCCTGGAGGAGGATTTTAAAATTGAGTTTTTGTTATGAACTTTCCAAAGTTCATGCAGGGTCTTCAAGCCCTGTGCGGCTTCCCCCAGTGTGCTACCTCCAGTTGCAAATGAATGAGGCTGTTCTAGCCTGCATACCTGTTTTATAATTGCTCTTAAAAGTCACAACCTGATTACAGAATATTGACAGGCCCTTGGGGAGTAAAGGGGAGAAGTTTGGAGGAGTGCAGCAGCAACAGAATCTGAGCAAGAACGGCTCTGCTTGGGGCAGGTGCTAAGCAGCACCCTCTCTGACTTGCATCGTTTTATTGTCTGTGACGGGGTCTGTCTTTTCAGCTGTGTTTTGTGCCTGTCCCAGCCCGTGGGGCAGCGGTGTCAAATGAGAAGGACCCCCTTGCCTCTCAAGCCACGGTGGTCAGCCCATTTCCTTTGGTTAAGGTGGCTCTTGGGAGGAGTACGAGAGGCGTGTAAACGGTGGGGTGTGGAGTTGTAGTAGAAGGTGTATTCCTCCATTGGGTCAGCTGTGTATTCCTCCATTGATCAGCTGTGTATTCCTCCATTGGGACATCTGAGACCACCGCAGGCGGTAGCCAGGGGCCTTTCCTGGTGCTGGCCGGGCAGACTGTCGTGCCGGCACGGGAGAGGGCTGCCTGGCTGTGAAACACCTGCAAGAGTGAGATATCCTAGTAGATGTGTATAAAGGTGAATGTGAATATGATGTGTGTTTTGGTTGAGGTATTGCTTATTTCTTTTTTACGAAAGCAGAGTTAGGTGATAAAACACTCTACATATTCCACCAGTTTGATCCCCCCCCCCGCCACCAGTTTAATTTCATTATATTTTCCTCCATTTCATCTGCCCAGCCCTTGACAGCCTGTCTGTTCTGGTACCAGAGTCTCAGTAATCCCAGCAACCAGGCTACAAAACAGTTGCCATCCCACGAAGGCTGGAGGATTGCTGGCTCTCGGGTTGCCCTGTCCCATGGGCAGTCCTGGGCTCCTTGATGGCCGGCTCCTGACCTCGCTGCTGAGTTCCCGGCCCCAAACTCCTCTGGCTCCAAGAGCAGTGTTTTTGAGAATTATGGCTGGGTCTTTTT